TCCAGGGATGGGACTTGGCTATGGAGAGGAACAGCAGACAGGTCTGCAGGGCTCCTGGCTCTGAGAGATGCTGGCAGAGTGGGAGGTGGTGTGATAGGGCCAAGACAAAGTTGCCCTGGGGCAGGAAAGAGGGACCTGTGTAAAGATGTACAAGAGATCAGCAGCAGGACGTGGATTTGGAGAAGAAAGTTCTCCAAAAAAGAAAAAGTTGTAGAGCGACTTCTAATTTTCGACTTGGGTGACAAGGATTCATACAAGGTGGTACAGGAAGCACAAAAGAAAAATGCCACTTTGGACATGTTCATTTTGAAATGCCTGTTGAAACTCAGATAAGTGAGCACCTAAGGCACGTTATTTATTTGTAACAGGACTAAGATTAAAATTTAAGTTACTTCCTTCCCATTCTAAGGTTTAGTATGGTCTACAACTTTGCCTCCCCCAGAACAATTTTTATAGTGTTATTTCCTCACTATTTTTTTAAATTTTAGTCTAGGAAAAAATTTACACCTGCATGAAGAGATTTATCTTCTTTTTTTTTCTCTTCTTTCTTTTTTTGAGGCAGAGTCTTACTCTGTTGCCTGGGCTAGAGTGCCATGGCGTCAGCCTAGCTCACAGCAACCTCAAACTCCTGGGCTCAAGCGATCCTCCTACCTCAGCCTCCTGAGTAGCTGGGACTATAGGCATGCGCCACCATGCCTGGCTAATTTTTTATGTATATATTTATATATAATTTAATTTCTTTCTATTTTTTTAGTACAGACGGGGTCTCGCTCTTGCTCAGGCTGGTCTCGAACCGCTGAGCTCAAACGATCCGCCCACCTCAGGCTCCCAGAGTGCTAGGATTACAGGTGTGAGCCACCACGCCCGGCTGATATTTATCTTCTTATTCTATTTATCATCATGATTTTATAATAGATTTTTTCATACTTCCCCATTTCTTTGAATGTTATTTTATACAAATGTTGCTAAGTTGATTATCAGTGCATCCTAGCCAATCATGACTTTTTAAATAGTTCATGTAGAATTTTTAAAGGATATTTATTTTTTTTCTAAAATAGTTTGTTTATAGCCTCTGCTATTGAGGAACTGGAATAAAACAGCCTGAGGGGAGGTAAAATTGCTTCTGAAGTTGTTTCTGTTAAGTATTGTTTCCTATTAGTCCTATTTTAGTGGGCAGGAAACTGAAGCCAGAAAGTTAAGTAACTGGAGGCCACACAGCTGAGTCCTGGGCCTCTTCTGCCCTTAGGATGTTAGATCTTGAGAGTGAAGAGATTGGGATCCAAATGGTGAAGTGGTTAGATTATGTTCAAGAAAAGGTCTCCTGGTAGGGAGGGAGAATATCTTTGGGTAGATTTTAAAAACTTCTATACTTTCAATTCTCACAAATAATTCTACTAAATAAACTGACTCTATCGTGGAATAAAAACTTTTTTCAAAGACAAAAAAAAAAAAAAAAGAACAAACCAAAAAATACCTCCCAGAAATTTATAAAACATGACATACTTCCCGCTAGAATTTGAGTTATTTCAAGGGTATGCTGGTATGGGACAATGAAAAGTATTTGTTAGTTTTACCTAATACACTTTCGAAAGGGCAACAGATAAAAATGCAAATATGGAATTCACCCAAGCAAATGAGGCACAGATGTAGGCATTTCTAAGAAGCAGACTGACAAATAGTAATTGAGTCGTCTAGTTACCTTTCTGGACATACAACTTTTGAATCGGGTTGGCTTTATAAGTAGACACGAACGAGTCCAAGAAGCACCAGGGCGACCCTTCATAGCTTTATTTCTATGGGTTGTGAAAGTTTTACAGCTTCACTGTTAAAATATAACTCTCTCTGTGTGGTGATGAGCTTTATTATTTTAACAGCTATCACAGTGATGGGACCCAGGATAGGACAGCCAGGACCTGATATTAACAGAAGTGAGAAGACAGACTCAGGACCTAGCTTGCCTCTTATCAGGGTATCACTGTACTTCTTATAGAAAAAAAAATTGCTCTTTTTTTCATATACTTGGGTCATTGAAGTAATAGCAGAGGGCTATCTAAGGAGGAAGATAAATGACATATCCAACCATTTGAAAATTTTAAGAATTCTTCCAACGTTGTATGTTGGTGGTGGTGGTTATTATTGAGCAAGGAGAGACAAAACCAGTAACTCGGCATGGTTTGACTCAAATAGGTCAAAGATGTTTTAATATTTAGAAATGCTACAGGGGCTGCACTAAGATATTTAGAGGGTATTTTCTAGTTTGCTCACAATATAACCTATAAATAATAAACTGTTCAAAGCGAAGAACAGAGAAATTGGCTAAAGTGGTTGAGTTGGCACTTAGAGTTTGGCCAGAGGACCATCAGCCCTGTGTGTTTTGATCTGCATATCTGTAATATTTAGATGCAAATATAGAAGAATTGAATTACTGAGTTTGCAAAAGAGACCTCAGAAATCACCTAGTGGTTTTCAAACTTTCAGTGGTTTTCAAACTTTCAAGTTTTCAAACTTGATTTTAGCAGCAGACTTTTTTCTTTAAAAATGAAATCTTAGGTGGAACCCCAATTCTTAAAACAGATAAGTGGGTTCATTTGGCCCTTTAAATCTTGATTGTTTGGGGGAAAAGTTCCTCATTGCTTGCAGCATCCGTTAAGCACCTCAGGTAGCACAGTTTGAAAACCACTGATCTAGTCCAACCCTTTCATTTTACAGATGAGCAAACTGAGGTCCAGAGAGGTTAAGTGAATTGACCAAGGTCACACAGCTAGTCATGGAAGAGCCAGGACTAGATCTAAGGTCTCTTGATTCCCAGTCCAGTGCTCTTTCCACTACACCACACTGCCAGTAAGGTAGGTGCTGTGCTAGCATTATGTTCATAGCTACTAATAGTCTTCAGTATTTTCCAACTAATTTACTGTGGTAACATGCATTGAATGTTTATGTATTATTCAGAAATGTATAGGATATGAAAATACAGATTAGAATCTCACAGAAATACTCCTAGAAGATAAATCAATACCTACAATGTTTCACTTTTAAAAATTATTTTAAAGCAATGCATTTAGGTAATGTCTGAGCTATACTGGATGTTTTAGTCTGATAGCAACAATCAATATGTGTGGAGTCAGTATGTTTTAGTGAAGACACATACTTTGATGGGAGCAGCATTGAGACTTCTGGCCACCACTCCCTCAGGGGTCATGCTCTGCTGTCATTTCCAATGTGGCCAGTTGCCTGTCCCAGAACAGTGAGTTCTTCTTAGCATGTATTGCACACGTACTCTCACGTTAAACCCTGTAGACTTTCCCTCAGTTCTTTCTATGCTTATACCTTCTGTCTCTAATGCCGTTATCCTTCTCAACCTGGTGTGTGTAAATTGCCATTGGGGCTCCACCCAAAAGGGACATAAAGGATGGTTCATAGTAGAATCCTGTTGCCTGGATAATCTCCGTTGTTGATTCAGTTTCCACTCAGATCCCTCCAGTATTATCAAAGACCGTCGCTAAAGGCTAGGAAAGTAGAAAAAGTGTCTTACGCCCTCTGTGCTATTGTTTTGCCACCCTAAATCAAAAAGGCATGTGGAAATCCGCAGCCACTGTAAATTGGTAGAATTCTTATGAGAAAATTTCCCTGGGAAAATAGATGTCACCACTAGTCTAAGGATAAAGTGCTGGTCTTGTGAGAAGAGCCAGCTGCCAAATAAAAAATTAGTTTGGGAGCTGTGACTCCAAAATTGAATATGTTTTGTTCCTATCTTATTGAGTATAATGGGTTCAATAGAGCCAGAAAAGATTTCAGCCAGGAAAGATTTCTTTAGGCCCACTTTTGTTTGAGAATCGAGGAACCATGATTAATTATCAGGTCTCATTTATAGAATGCATCCCTTCGGAAAGCCAAGTTCAAAGTTCTGTGCATCACATGATGACGTGCAGTCAGGGTGTGCCTGTCCTGCCTGTACCTGATAACCTTCAACAGGATACACAAGCTCTCTGGGTGTGTGTTTCCTCAACTTTGAGAGGGTTGACCTAGATCTTCCTTCTAGTCCCAGCTAGCTCTGTACAACTGCTGATTATCTTGGTGACTCAGGATCGTGTCAGGGTCCCACACACTGCATTGCTCACTGTATTAGCTCAATTTGATCCTTGCTTTCCAGTAGAACTTTCTATGGTGATGGACATGTTCTATATCTGTGCAGTCCGATACTATAGCCCCTAGCCACAGGTGGCTATGAAGCATCTGAACTGTGGCTACTGCTACTAATGAACTGAATTTTAGGCTTTATTTAATTTTAACTAACTTACATTTTAATTTAAACAGCCATGTGCAGCTGGTGTATTGGAACACACAGTTCTTAGATGTTCTGACACAAAAGTCAGATACTAGAAGGAATCTGTGTACCTAAAGTATTCATCAAGATATTGGTGATGTTTTACCTTGATGAATCTTCACCAGATATAGTCTGTCTTAGGGTAGCTTGTTAGAATCAAGTACTGTTTTGAATGAAAATATTGTCTAAAGGAGACTAGGTTTGCTTCTATTTGCGACTTAACCCCTTGAGCTTCAGCTGAAAAGATGTTAGCTAATTTGATGAGAAGCAAAGCATTTTCTCCTGTGTGCAGTCTTTTTTCCCCAAAGTAATAATAATTTTAAAATTTGGGTGTTTTTTTTCTGTTTTTTAATTTTAGAATATTACAGGGGTACAGATGTTTTGGTTCCATAAATTGCTTTTGTACCATTTAAGTCAAAGTTATAAGTGAGCCCATCCCCCAGATAGTGTGCAATGTACCTGTTAGGTGTGAATTTACTGTGCGCAGTCTTATGGTCATTTTGGTCTCAGCGTGGGTTTCAGTGAATTCCTGTATGTTTTTCTGGGAAGCTGAGTTTAGAAAGTTTCTGGCCAATAAAGGAATATTCTGTTTATGTTACAGACTGAAATACAAGTAACTGAACTCTGCTGGTTTCTGAGTACTTGATGAAACAAGCTTGTTTTTTTCCTTCTTCAGAACCAAAGAAAATGGCTTTGACAGAGAGCCTTTGCACTCAGAACATCCAAGCAAGCGACCATGCACTATTAGCCCAGGCCAGCGGTACAGTCCAAATAACGGCTTATCCTACCAGCCCAATGGCCTGCCTCACCCCACCCCACCTCCACCTCAGCACTACCGTTTGGATGATATGGCCATTGCCCACCACTACAGGGACTCCTATCGACACCCCAGCCACAGGGACCTCAGGGACAGAAACAGACCTATGGGTAAGACTGAAGGATCTGTTCACTTCTGACAGGCTTGTATGCTTGAAGACTTGTGTCATTACTTCTCAGCTGAACTTGAGGCTTGAACTCTGTGACAGGGATAAAAATTATCTTTCTTTATGTTGTCTTTTATGAGAAAACTGGATTGGTATTAATATGTGCTTTAAGAGCTGTGGTCTCTTTCTCTTAATTACTTGTATTCTTTTAAGACAGCTGGTTAACTTTCTTTTTGGAGGAGAGCATCTGAGCTAATACAAAACCCTGAATTGTGGTAACAAATGCAAAATGAATTTTTACCTTGAATGTTTTTTTTAAACATGTGAGACTTCATATGCAGTCTGCCTGCCACAAATATTTTTAAAAATCCATTTTTTCTTTCCTTGTATCTTTTATTTCTGATAGTCTCAAAGTTCATTTTGATTTTTTCAGCCTCCTTGATAGTCTATATTTGCAAAATATGATATGGCATTCTAACTGTGGCTTAACTTGACAGATGCTCCTTGGAAGAATGATTTGGTACCTTTATTTTCTTGAAAATGCCAGTGATTAAAGTTAGTATTGACAAATTCGGGTCAAATATCAAAATACCGAAGAAGTGAATTTGGGCAAATGTGTGTTCTATTTGCCTGTGTTCATTCCTTCTTTGCATAAAACTATTTGTTGGAAATAAAGCATTTAGTAGGAGATACTGCCTTCTGAAGAACAAGTATCTGCCATGAAAAATGAGAGGGAAGATGAAGGAGGTAAGTTTTGATGCATGATCAGTGGTTGAGGTGATGGTATCAGAGGATTAGTAGGTACACTGTTGCTAGGGCACTTTCGTTTCCTAATTTTTGGTGACAACAAACTGAGAGCAGCAGTCAGCCCCCTTTTCTTTTTCTATATCCTGTGTCCCTATCACTCAACGGCAGGACTTTTTCTACCTCATAACTAGTGCTGGCAAACTCTCCTGCCATGGGTGTTTTGGTGGGCAGGATACTGGAAAGAGCAAGAGATGAAGTCTACGTGAAAAACCAGAAAACAGAGCTGAAGATACAGAACTCTGGGAAACGCAGCCAGCCAGCGATTCACTGCTTGATTAGTGGTGATAGTGTCTTTTTGTTTGTTGGTTGGTTATTTAGACACAGGTAGAGAGGGCCTGATATGCAGACATATACCTTAGATTTCCAGTCAGATTGCCAGCAAAGCAGGGCTGCCATGTGTAGGGTCTTTTTGCCTTTCTATACACAACCCTCCAAATGTTTAAAAAGCAGAAGGGAAGAGTGAGGGTGAGGGGAGGGGCGGTTGAGGCTTTGGTTGTGAGATAGTAAATTAGTAGTTCTGGTTCCCCACAACAGTAATTTCTACATTTATATAGTGTGTCAGACAAATGGCTAAGCATATAATTTGTGCGTTCTTAATAGCCAATCTGTCTAATGTTCTCTCAGGTACCATTTCTGAAGAGCTTTCAGAAGTGATTATGTTATTTCTCAATCTAGATTGATATTTTTTGACCCCCAAATCAAATGTGATAACAACTTCCTTCTACACAAAAACTTTACAATTTATTTATGACTTAAGGACTGAAAACTATGATTGTATGTTTTTAAACAGCAGTAGAGTCATCAGGTCACTGTGAGACCAGTTCAAAAGATCCCATTTTGTAGGTGCTAGGAAATGGCCTATTTTTTAGGCAGCAGATGCTATTTTATGAAATATTAGTTCCAGTGCACTATACAGTAATCAGCAAGGAAGTAATTATGCTTATGTTCAATGATTATGTTTTCATCTAGTAATGTAAAATATCCCTTTATGAATTATATCTGTATCCATTGGTTTTATGTGATTTTCTTCAGACCATGTTCCTTACCTTTTAATTATATTAGCTTATAAAACTAATAGTGCTAATCTCTATAAATATGTGCAGCTACTAAACCATCCCTAAAGTCTGGCAGAGTTTAGTGTGTGTTAATGTAAAATAAAATCTTGATGTATGAGTAACAAATTATGGTGTTACATCAGGCTGCCATTTTGAGAATGTAAAAGTTGTCATAAAGGTATACTTAGCCTAGTATGATTTACAAATGCCTATTGTGTATAGGGACATATATTCACTATAGAATCCTTTAATAAAAATAACTTGTAAGCAGCATTAGTTTATAAGTAAGCTTAAAGTTTTAGCCTAGTTAGCTAAAATCTTCTAAAACATAAGGACCACCTAAGATTCAACATTAGTGTCTAGTGTCTCACATATGAAAACGTCCTCTTTAATGATTATGAACTATTTTCCCCTAGTACATTACTCTGGTATTATGACTATAAATAAAAATGGTGGTGCTGAGCATTTATGTATCTGAAATAGAGAAATTAATAAATGTAAAATTTTGATTTGTATATTTTTCCTTTTAAAGATTCTATCTAACAAATGACCTTCAGTGTTCAAAAGCAGCAAACAAATCCTATAATTTTTCAAAATGTACTTGGGCTCAACTACGTTTCTAATGTTATTTAAAAAATGAGATGGAGCTTAGCACTGTTTCACAAATGCTGGAATCCCATTAGTCACAGTCATCCTGTTGCTCATTAATGTTATTCTAGGTGTTAAGAGCTTGTATCATTGATTTAGTTTGCTGAATGTTTGAAACTTTTGAGACCTCTGGAGTTCGTGTCGTTAAAGGCAAGTATTCAGATGTCTCTATCATGAAAATCACTGTGACATTTATATCCTTATCACTCTCTCTGGTTTTCTGTGATGACTAATTTTAACGGTAATGCTTTTCCCCTAAAACACAGGCAACAAATAAGTCAACAAAAATTACATATTTGCAAACATTTCAACTTGAAATAATCACAACAAACAGAGCAGTAACTAAATATTACTTTTCACCAATGTCTTTTCTATTATGCAAATTAGTAAAACATATTTGCACTTTTGCTTTTTTACCAATAGGTGGCATTGACAATTTTAACTTTTAAAATGTATCTCAGAATATGTTCTAATTGGACAAGAAAATGGTGCAAAGTGTTTTGTGATTTTTGTTTTTTTGTTTTTTTTTTAGACAGGGACTCACTCTATTACCCAGGCTAGAGTACAGTGGTGCAGTCATAGCTCACTGCGGCCTCAAACTCCTGGGCTCAAGCGATATTCCTGCCTCAGCCTCTCAAGTAGCTAGGACTACAGGCGCATGCCACTATGTCTGGCTATTTTTTTAGTTTTTGTAGAGATTGAGTCTGGCTACATTGCCCAGGCTGGTCTTGAACTCCTGGGCTCAAGCAGTCCTCCCACATTGGCCTCCCAAAGTGCTGAGATTACAGGTGTGAGCCACTGTACCTAGGCCCAAAGTGTTTTTATATTTAGCTTTTTACTTAGTCTGAGAAAGAGCTTTCATCAATTCGTTCACTTCCCATCAGCTATAAATGAAATTGTATTTCATGGTTGGCTGAAATGAGTCATGTGACTCATCATCTTTATTTCTCTAAATCAGCTAAAAGAAGGGATTTCTGTTTCTCATAAAGGGTAGCAGCCTGCTGGGTGGCCATTCCAACAGGTTGGGAAGCTGAGCTCCAGCCAGAAGCCAGGCATGCATGCTTCCAAGAAGGGATTTCTAACCACTCCAATCTCACAGAGAGTGGAATGTAGCATCTTATATCTCGTATTATCATTCCATTCTTATAAGGCCCACAGAGGAGGAGCCCAGGTGTTTAGAAGCCCAAACCACACCAGACTCAACTTCTGTTCAGACTAAAATTGTGAAAATTGGCAACCAAAAAGCATAGTTTTGATCATTTAAAATGGAAAATATTGCCATAGCCCAATGCCTTTCTTCTACAGTAGAATGTGAAATGAATCTGTAAGAGAAGCAACACATTTCCAGGTTTCTCTGGTCAGAGCCTTCCATCCTCTCTTTTTAGTGAGACACATTTACTTCCTATTTTCATGAGCATTCCTGCTAACTGGTCACTGTCATCAATACTGATGGTCACTTGGTAGACATTTTCATGTTACTTTTTCATAGTAGTATCTTAACTATGATGCTAAAGAGCATTAATAATTACAGATTTCAAATAAGGCTTGGATTTATGGTATTTGCCAAATTATATCTGGTATGTTTTTTTTTTAAATAAAGGGTGTCTAATTTAAGTTTTTTTTAATTTTTTGATAAACTGAATGAATATATGTAGTCTCATAGTCCCTCTCTTCATGGCCTGATTTTATTGTGGACATATAAGTGGTTAGGATTGGATTCATGTATAAAATGCTAAAATGTGGAAAAAGTTTTAGCATGTTTGTTTTGGAAAAACATATCCATGCTCATGTAGAATGACTTAACGCTGTCTTTATTTTTAATGCAGGACAGCTATATTTTGAAACTACCTAATGTCTACTTGTGGTTTCTTGTATTTATTAAGAGTTAGAATATATTTTTACTTAGGGAGTGTTAAATGAATAACTTGGACTTAATGTTACTTTGTCTCTTCTGTGTGAAATAAAGGATTTTGACTAGATGACATCTAAAATTCCTTCTGTTTCTAACATTTTATCATTTTATGAGGAATCCATTAGGTAATTCTGAATCTAGGTATGACTCATGTCTCCATTCAAAATCAAATGTATTTTCTCGTCATTGAGTTTACCCACATCGTCCTTGCTATGTGCCGTGTGCGTATGGATTGTGTACTGAATGCTTTGAGGTGACTGAGACGACTTCTCTACACTTGTAGGGTTGCATGGCACACGTCAAGAAGAAATGATTGATCACAGACTAACAGACAGAGAATGGGCAGAAGAATGGAAACATCTTGACCATGTAAGATATCCGTAATCACTTGAGTTAAAAAATGTTTAGAAAACAACTGGAGTGAGGTTATGTGATAAAATAAAAGCTTGGTGATGGTTTGAAGGTATTGTGTTTCCTGCTCTCCTTGAAAAAAATAATGAGTGAGAATGTATAAAGTAGAATATAGGATTTGATTTCTGAATTGATATGAAAGCCACTTAAGACAAATGTTAAGATCATGGAAAGGAATTCTCAAAGCCAGGTTAGTGGGCTACTGTTTTTACTGTGAAAGGGTCATTTAGTTTATCGAGTAATGGGATTAGTATTTGCAGAGGTAGATTTACTGGCTATAATGCCTTCAGGTGAAATCTCTCTGTCAAGACTCATGTTCATACTTCCTACTTTTTCTTTTTATTCCCATTGAACTTTCTCATCTAATGGGTCTTAATTTCAAATCCAACCATTGAAAATATTAGACTGAAGCCTTCAAAGGATAAAATTGCAACTTTCATTGTCCTGAAATAGTTTCACTCCCTTCTGAAGTCTTTAATTTGTGGTGATTTGTATGTTTTTCCCTTTTGCCCTGTTTCTCACATAGCTGTTAAACTGCATAATGGACATGGTAGAAAAAACAAGGCGATCTCTCACTGTACTAAGGCGATGTCAGGAAGCAGACCGGGAGGAGCTGAATTACTGGATCCGGCGGTACAGTGATGCTGAGGACTTAAAAAAAGGCGGGAGCAGTAGCAGCAGCCACTCCAGGCAGCAGAGTCCCGTCAACCCAGACCCAGTTGCATTAGGTACCTTTTTTCAGATGAGCATCTTGAACAGATGTTTCTTATGCTATTAATGCCGACTTTATTTTTAAGTTGTCTTTTTAAAACTAAAGGGCATGCAGGGGATTTTAGGACGATAACCACTTTACATACCTTCAAACATGTCTCCTCTGTCTATCAGGAAAGTGGGCAGATTGGCGTATAAAGAGATGGTCACATAACTTAAATCGCTTTTCCAGGTGAGCTTATGGCAAAGTTTCAAAGCTGAACCAGAATTCCATGTGCATAACTAAAATATGTGCTGCTTCATAATACAGCTGTTTGGACTCTGCCTCAAACCAGCAAAAACACAATCTCAGAGAATGGGCCTGGGGCTTGGGCACTTCTAAGGAGGTCTCTAGTGGATTCTTCCACCGCACACCAATGTTAGCACTGTACACGAGGATGCATATTTTATAATTATTAATTTAAGAAACAGTCTCTAAAGCAATCTTATTTTATAGCAGTATCTTACATTTGCAAAAAATGCTTTTCCTGAAAACCCCTCCAGGAAGAGAAACCTGAAAGCTGTAAGTTTGCCTACTGCTACTTAAAAATTAATGGTAAACATGTAGCTATCTTCCTGTGATTTGATCTTAACTTAGATTGCTTAATCATAATTTTATTAATTCCAGTCATGTAACAGGACTATTAATATAGCCATGCGTTAGACATTGAATGCTAGTATGTAACTATATTTAGTATTGATATTTGGGGAGTTGTTAGGATTCTAAATAGCATATGTAATCCCAAAATGTTGAAAGAAATCTTCAACCTGAAAGAATTTTTGTGTGGCCTGTGAATTCATACCTAAATTAATAATGTGGTGTCTACTGTTTGAGTAAACTTAGTGGAGATGAATCTGCGTTGATCTCGGTTCTCCCATATTCTCTTATGGGTTTAGCCCCACGCTTGTCAGATAACTCAATTACACGTGTACAGATTAAGCTTATGACTTTGGCCTCATCAGCACCATGGCTGATTATCAAAAAATTTAAAACTTGAAACATGTTATCTGACTATTGATCACAGTATCTTTTTAATTGAAATTATTCCTAGCCAATGCGGTTTCCTTTGCAGTTAGGTTTGTGGATTCCTGCTAATCCTTGAATGCTGAATGCCTATTATCATAATAAATATTAAATAAAGAAAGATTCCAAGGCACTTAATTTACCCAGCAGGCATTATTCTAAAGCATATTTAAAAGACAAAAGTGTATTTGTCAGGTTGTATTAAGACAAGCAATGAAAACAGAATTAAGTTTGATTTGAACCAATATTGGTTTAAACAAAACTATTTAGAGCAGAGTAGAATAAACATCTTGTTTTCATTTCCTTATTGTGAGCAAAAATTGGTTAATCATGAGAGATTTGCTTAGGACAAACAAAAGGGATATTTGTAACCATCCAGTGTAGGCAAAAAGCGAGAGCCTTAAAGTAAATAAAACTTTGGGAGTAAAAATAGCCAGGTTGGCCTGCTCTGTTGAACACATTCATTGAGCCAGTACTTATTTATTGAGTGCCTGCTCTGTGCTAGGCACTATAATGAAGGAAAAAAATTCCTCATTCCTTCTCTTGAGGGCCTTCGGGTCTACGGGAAAAGACAGACAAGGGAAAAGCCGGTGTTACGGACACAGGGTAGCCACCTCGATTCGGTCCCATAAACTGGTGGGGCTGTTATTATCTGCCACCCTCTGTAAAAGAAACATTTCAGAAATTGATCGGACTTCATACCTAAGTAAGTTATTATCAGCATACAGAATATGGCCACTTAGTATATAGTCACCTCTACTTCACGCAGATTCTAGTGATGCCAGTGTTTATTTTCTTCTCCAGGAAGACAGGTTCAGTTTCCCTGTTATGTAACCAGAAGAATAAACTTGGTTTTTAAAAGCTCCTCCTTAGAACACACAAAGTATACTACTTTTAGTGATGTTCCATGAATTTATATTTCTGGTAAACCTGAGATGTTCCTTTGCTTTAAGCTTTTGCAGGTTGTATAATATTATTCAAAGGCTACAAATATTTTATTTCTTTCTTTAGACTCTGTTAAAACATCATATTATTTATAGATATGGAGCCCTAGATTGCCTATGAAGAAACTGTCACAACTTTAGAGAGAACCTGTTGAGAGCTCCGCAATACACCAGTTTTAGCATTGAAAATTCTTTTTCACTGTGCGTTCTTGCTGATTGATTCTTGTAGCCTTTGTGTTCCATTTTCTGGGACTGAGCTATGGTTGTAAATGAGAGGACAGGTGGTTTGTAATCATGGGCCACAATCTGTGGACCACATTTAATGCTAAGTTTCTCTTCCAGCTTTGGAGTTGAGTGGATTGATGTGTGTAATGAAAGGATTGAAGATTATTGGTTGATAAATGTATTTTCTACTCTTGGAAAGTGTTTAATGAAGTGCATGTGTACAGATAAAGCTATGAATATGTTTAAATATTTATATACATGTAGATTTCCATATCCTATGGTATATTGTAGATATTTCTTTTAGCCTAATTCTCTTAATTCTTAAGCTACTGTCTGGTATCAAATGAGACCTTCAGAATATATTATAGAAGATATCTTTGGTTCAAAATATTACCCTACTTATATCCCTAACTTGGAAACACTGGAAAAGTTTAGTCATACACACATTCTTAGCATTTTTAAATTGTATGTGGGGACTGCACAGAGGAGACTGTATCTTTCATGACCGATATGTTGTATTTGTTAAACTCAATTAAACTCAATCCCATTCTCACTTTTGAAATATAATCATAGTATTAAGTCAGTGTGGGGGATTAGTAAAATACCATGATTAATCTATTACTAATTGAATTTTAAAAGTTTTCCACAGATATTAAGGGCCATTTTGAATAGCCTGTGAAACAATTTTAAGCACTGAGTATATACTGAAATCATAATGGTATTTCTATTCTTTAAATAAAATGCAGGTTTATATCTTAGGCTTTTTATAAAATAGATTTTTCCTTGAAATAATAGGTATTCATTATTTTTATTATTACTCATTTGCTTTACATGGAGAATTCCAAATATCCAACTCTTAACAAAATTAGAAAGCTGATTTTTAAACTGTTGTCTCTATTTTCAAAGTATGACTTATTCATACATTATAGTTTTGTTACATTGTGTACCTCACCGAAGAGCAAGTTAATGTGATCAGAATTGATAGATTTGATCACTGAAGCAGAATTACTTTTGTATGTATAGATAGGTGGTTGCTGGTTAGCATTTTATATGTTCTTTTAAGTGTCTGAGTCTCTGTCATTCTTTTTTCTCTCAGTAAGCGGTTCATATCACTCTCTTGGTTCCTGACATTTTATTTTTTTTTTAATTACCTCTTTTCACTGGCTTTGACTATTCTAAAATCTTTCTACGGTTCATCTTGTATCTGTATACCCTCTCTTTGTTTTCAAGAATCTTCCACATTCAAGAGGGTTAAAAAAATTAGCTAATGGTGGGTTTAAGGCTAATGTTACGGGCTGAGACATGAAATTCTGTAATATAAATGCATTTTTCTCTGTTATTTATTTGTTTATTTTTAAATGTATGAATCCTGTGTTGGCAGTGTAGTCAATTTAGGAAATACCTTCCATGTATGTTTTGGTAAGGGTTTAGCTTTTGCCAGAGAGAAATGTCAGAAAGAAGTTTGTTTGTTTCAAGTGGAATGAAAAAATCAAGCTTCAGGTTCATAAAAAGCTTAGTAATTCAGGAGTTTGTTGAATTAATACCACCTCCTGTACCAAGTGGACTGGTGGAGAAATTCACATTTCATTTATTTATTTGTTTATTTGTTTAGGTTTGTTTTAAAGAGACAGGGTATTGCTGTGTTGCCCAGGCTAGTCTCAAACTCCTGGGCTCAAACTATCCTCTCGCCTCAGCCTCCCGAGTAGCTGGGATTACAGGCATGCGCCACCGCACCCAGCTTGGAATTAGGATTTTTAAATTCATCTAACTGGCAAGTTTTATGATTCTCATATGATTGAATTATATAATTTCTCATTGCTATCTAACTCCTCAGGAAATCTTGCATGAAGGCTGAAAGCACAGACTCTGAGAAGATTGTCTGGATTTGAATTACTGATTCCTCCCCATACTAGTTTGTGACCTTTAGCAAGTCATAATCTCTTCGTGCCTCAGTTTTCTCATCTGTAAAATGGGGATAGTAATAATACATATTATATAGGCATTTTGCTATTGAATGAGTTAATAGGTATAAAGCATACAGGATAGTACCTAACACATACTAGATGTGATGTATAAGCTATATGCAGTCTCAGAAAGAACTTTAAAGAATAGTGGTAAGTGAAATGATTGGAATTTTTTGCCTGGCATCCAAAATTGTGAAATTATAGTGGATTCTACGATTCTTTTTTCTTTCTTTCTTTCTTTTTTTATTATTATTTTTTTTAAAAGAGACAGGGTCTTGCTATGTTGCCCAGGATGGTCTTGAACTCCTGGCCTCAGGCGATCCTCTTGCCTCAGCCTCCCAAGTTTGTGAGATTACAGGCATGAGCCACAGAACCTGGATATAGTAGATTCTTAGGTATTTTTCCATCTAGAAAGTATTCTCAAGCAGTAATTTTTAGGTGGCTACTCTATTTAATAGGCAGATTAGTAAAGAATTCTGTCTTAAACACAGTAAATCTTTGTTGGGAACCTTTGGGATCCCAATTCGTAATACAAGGCTATAGAAACATAGTTTTCTTCTAACCAAAGAAATATTATTCAACTTCTATACTACCAGAATATAAAAACCACAAACAAGATATTCAGTGTATATTTGCATTTAAATGTGTGGAGTTTTGTATCCTTTTATTGATTCCTTTAAATCACATCATGAAATTCATGAAATAATGAAATTCACAACCATTCAGCTGACTTCATAATGCAAATGCTTACTGCTCTTAATATTGGGTTACAAAGGATGTGACTACTAGTTAAATATGTCTGTTCCATTTGATCCAGCAATAGCACTATTAGGCATCTACCCAAAAGAGCAAAAGATATTCTATAATAAAGACATCTGCACCCGAATGTTTATGGCAGCACAATTCACTATTGCAAGGATGTGGAAACAACCCAAGTTCCCGTCAATTCATGAGTGGATTGTTGAAATTTGGTATATGTATACAATGGAATATTACTCAATTATAAGAAACGACAGTGATCTAGCATCTCATATTTTCCTGGATAGAGCTTGAGCCCATTATCCAAAGTGAGGTATCACAAGATGGGACGAATGGGCTCCACTTGTACTCGCCATCAAATTGGCACTAACTGATTAACACTATGGTGCTCACATGGTAGTAATATTCTCCAGGGATTAGGGGAATGGGGGAGTGTAAACATACGGTTAGAGGGCATGCCTCTAACCCTCGCTTGGGTGGGGCAAAGACATAAAATATAACCAAAATGTTTGTACCCTCATAATACCTGAAATAAAATAAATAAATAAATAAATAAAACCAATAAGAGATGGTTACTTTCTGGAGCATTAGACATGTTTATTGTTGAAGATGGAAATCCTAAAGCAGTTGTTAACTTTTAGGTTGGATTTGGGCTTCTGAAACCTAGTGTTGAGATTTCTGAATTTATTATCCTTAAAAACAAGTGACATTTATGAAGATGAAATTATTTAACCCTTCCTTTCTTTTGATGGTTTTTGTAGTAGATATTATTATGATCACAGCCTGATTCTGCCCACTACAGGATGAAGGCCATACCTAGGTGCTGCCAAGCTTTTGAGCATTGCTGTCCTGGGTCATATGAGGTCATATTGGTTCTCCAAAGGCTATCAGCTCATCCCTTCATGTATATTGATGGCGGCCCTTGCGGTATCTAGTATCCAGTGGTCTCCATTCTGTCATAAGTGTAGTGCGTCTTCCATCTTTTCTTACATCATAGATTGCTCTTCGTGTTCTTCACATTTCTTACACCATTTCCCCTCACTCTTACTTGGTCTCTTCTCTTCATAGATGTGTATTCTCTTCAGGAGGCTTCCGTCCTCCTCCTTCTCCCCTCTCTTCTCTAAGCAATTTGCATCTCAAAGCAATCTAAACTTAAATTAGAAGGACTTTTCTGTAATTCTTCATCTTTCAGTAATTACACGCACACACATACATATATATGTTTCACATTTTAAACCATCTCATATAGGCACTCCTGTCTTTGTTTCTACCACTACATTTTAGCAACTAATTTTTATAGCAACTGGTATTTTCTAGGTGCTTAGAAGTTAATGGTTAAGAATTTGCTTCTTTAGAATCCAAGCCTCAGAATCTTAAGGTGTGTGTTTTGCATAGGTTTGTCTAGATTAGCCAATATTCTAAAATAATAAAGTCCCAGGAAAGAAATTGTCCTGTGTTCTAATTTTGATCAACTCCAGGATTTTTTGCTTTTTAAACTCAGGTTTGCCTATAGAGATTCTGATATTGCTGCTTAATCAGAAGAGGAAACATTAAATATATTAATAATTTGGTTTTTGTAGCTATTAAAATAGTATTCATCAGGGTATCAAATAGGTTTCTGAAGAGTACACCTACTACTGGTCACTCTGTTCTTTCTGTTGGCAGACCTGATGTTTAGCAGGGACACAGTAACTTAGAACTGGAGAGGATATCGTTAAATATGGTACATATAATTATTTGCCTTCAGATTCTGCTATTTTGAAAAAAAATTCTTTCAGAAAGTAGGTTAGGATTAGGAAAACTGTTTTGCATGATTGCTTTTAGCATTTCTAATGGGTTTCTAGGTCAGGTGGAGTTGGGATATGGTAGTGTGTCATTGGGAAATTTAGGGAGATGTAGCCAAGGTGAAATGTTGCACAGCTTTCCAGTGCGGTATATGTGCCCTCAGCACATGGAAGGTGGAAGGTCAACTGAGTTCTATATATTAATATTTGGGTGAATTTGGGGGCTGTAAACATTGATGAGTGAGGTTTAAGTAAAATTTATCAAAGTGTCTTCAAAGAAATTTGAGGACTTTGCTACTAATAACTTAAGCAGCAAATTGTTAACTATAGAAATAATTTATTCTGAGATCAGACGGGATCGGGCACATTCAGGGCAGCACAGGCGTAGACTAGAAATAATTTCTAATCCCAAGTGATGTATACTCTGGGCATTGAGTTGTTAACTCTAGAAATAATTTCTATTCTCAAGTGATACATATTCCAGGAGTTGAAAAAAATTATTTGGTGTATGTGGCTTAATCCAAATTTCTTTAGTGGTTTTGCTTTCTTTTAAAGTTTCATGCTATTTGGATTTTAGTGCTGAGAGGAAAAAGAAACTTTAAAGTGCTCTTTTCATCTTAGTTATTTATAAGGAAATAAGTATATACCCGTTCTTACTGGACAACCTAGTAGGTAATAATAGCAACGATATTAATAATGAGGATAATAGCAAGTAATATCTAATGAGAGTTTAGGATGTGCCATGCCAAGCACGTAATAGGAAGGCACCTCCTTCAGTCCTCAGAGCAGCGCTCTCAAATTTTAGTCATCTTGTCCTCACTTTATAGATGAGGCAGCTGAGTTGTGGAGAAACTAACATGCTCAGTGTCACATGGGTAGTAGTTGGAAAAGCTAAGATTCAGCTCTAATGGGCTCTAGAACTAACTTTCTCCTGCCTATACTTCCTAGGGCTGGTAATTAGTATGTTTTAGGCATAAACTTTGGATAACTTAAGATCCACCTTCCCTGTTCTTTATAATAAGGATTAGCTGTTTACCAAAAAATAATTTTTATAAGCTACGGATCTCTTCTTAACCCAATAAATGAAAATTTTTTTTTTCTTGCTACTTTGGAGAAGTCAAGTTTTTTCTGTCTTCAGACTTTACAGATCCATTCGTATCCAATAAATTATACTTAAATCAGTCTTTTTTTCTCCTTAAAAATTGTCTTTAAAAGTTGTCATAAGTAAATATCTGTGTTTCACTGTATCACATGGCTAAATGTGAACTTGATTGCACTTTCTTTATTTCTTCTGGAAATAGTTATAGTGGAATGAAAGATAATCTTGACAAATCTAATTAGCTATATCACATTTCCGTTAAGTCTTTATGCACCAGACAGTTTTATCTAGCTTTCTTTGTTTTGAGAATGAAAGTTGCTTCAGTAAAAACGTTTTGGTTTTTTGTCATTTATTTTATAGAAATGAGTGTGCACATGAGAATGCATGTATATCTCTAGTCTATCCAGTGGTCATTAAATTATAATGTAAACTTTTGAAAATAAACTTTTTAATTTGGAATAATTTTAGATTAAAAAAAACCTTGCAAAGATAATACAGAGAGTTTCCATATATCCTTCACCAAACTGTAGTAAATTTTGCTAATTCTGAATAGTCGGGAAAATCTAGTGTTCTGGCCAAGTGATAATCTGTGTACCTTATGAGGATTAAAAGCATTCAAATGTATCTAAAGCATTCAAACATAATGACATAAAATTAGATAAATTGATCATGCTTCCCTTTATTTTTGATATTCTGTAGCTCCATAAGATACATGAGACTAAACTGAATTTCTTTTAACACATTAATGGCCATGAGTTGTATTTATCGCTCTAGTTTTGACCCTGGGGCCAAGTGAAGCATATATAAAGTCTTACTTGTTGATGTTCTTATTGTTACAATTACTATGACAATTTCATTCTAAAAACATGGATTAAATGCCTAGAAGTCAATAAATTTTGTTTTTCTATTTATGTTTACCTTGAAATTACACTTGAAGTTTTTATTCTGTTTTCGTAATAAAAACACTGTGGCCCCAAGGAAAAGTTCCTGATTTTTTTGTGTGGCTGTCAATGTGTTTACCTTCAACATACCATTAGATAAAGTATTGTTTAAAAAAGCTAGTCAACAACTTGACAGTTCTTGTACATATAGAGAAATTTTCTATTTTAATCAATTTATCATGGGTTGAATAATCATTGTATTTTATAGAAGTTAAACTGGTTTTTTTCTTCCTAAAAACTTCTAAAAACATAGGCTTTCATTGAAAATCCAATATGGAAGACCGTATGCACTTTGTTTACTTTCACACATACGTAAAAAATATAAAATACTGAATGCCGTTTCCATGAAAACATATTATTTTGGGAGTTAGCATTCCTATATCAGTAATAGTATTGTTTTCTCAAACTTTTAAAATTTGACAAGCATAATAAGCACAGTATTTAAAGTGGAACTTCATTTCTTTTTTTGAAAAGCACGTACTAATTCTGTTTGGTGAACCGAAGGTCTGTGAATCCATTCTAATGAGTCTTTCTTCCACCCGTATCAAATCCATGTGATCTAATTTGTGTGAAAGATCTTAATGCTCAGTGAGATTTTTAAGAAGTAATTAAGTGTTGAGAACTGGTTAGCCATAGAGTAGAGCTCAGTATTTATTGAAAGGTGGCAGAAATCAGAGCTTTGTGGAAATTACATTACCAAACATTTGATTTTTTTAACTATGAAATTGACTCTTGAAAGGAAAACTACCAAATACAATTTATTTTCATTAACAAAATAAAATATACCTATAGAAATCCCCATAGTGAGAGAATGCTGAGAACAGTATTCCCAAACATCATCTTGTATAATGAAATAAAGCTGCTTTGGCTTTGAGCGTACAAGACATTTAGACCAATAACCTTTTGTTTTCCTTGGGCTCTCATATCTGGTCGTGCTATTTTTGTGTATTTTCCGGAATTGTGTTTTTGCAGAGAAGCCAGGAGAATGGGCATTGCTTACTTCACTGTGTGATGACACAACTGTGCTTACAGTGCTCCTCTCTCTCCAACCCCTTCTCATCTTTTCCTAGATGCGCATCGGGAATTCCTTCACAGGCCTGCGTCTGGATACGTGCCAGAGGAGATCTGGAAGAAAGCTGGTAAGAATTGTTTAAAAACACGAGTTTCGTGTTCTGGCAGCTGTGTGCAGTTGTTAATGCAGTGATGTGAAGAATGACAAGAAAGGACTTTACTGCTAACAACAACAACGGCAAAAACAAAACAAAACAAGACAAAAAAAACCACAAAACAAAACAAAAAACCTGATTAATATTCTCAAACCAAGCCTGATTAGAACATGAAATGGTTGTTATGTTAGTAGCATCTGCTAGTGCCATTATAATTGAGAGGCTGGCAATATTTCCATTATATAAACCCGATTTTTTTCAGTGGCTATAATGGTTTCAGGCTGAAACCGATATAGGAGGTCTTAGCTTGCATGTTTTTTTTTTTTCCCCCTTTGATGGAGAAAAAATCCACTGTTTTAGAAATTAAATTGTGTACTTCAGCTTTTTCCTTTGCATTCTTAAAAAAAAATCGTATCAAATCTAGTTGACTATTTAAGGTACTCAAATTATTTTTTGGTTCCAATCAACTTTTAAAGTTATTCTTTGCTAATTAATATTCAATGATTAGAGTTAAATTACTTTTTTAAGTTAAATGACAAAGTTGTTAAACATCCACTTTTACTTTCCATGTACACTTTTTGCTTTCCATTGAGAGACACTGCTCTATATTTTGCAGTAGGTTTAAAGCTCCTGATGCTAATGACCCACTGACTTGTTATTGGGCTTAAAGAAGTTCAGATCTGGCAGAATCTTGGTGGAACACCAGCTGAGCAAAAACCTTTATGAAAACCAACTCAGCAGATAAAGCATAAATCTGTTTTAAGAGTTAAAGATGACATTAAAAATATACTGCGGCTTTGAGCTGCTATAACTGGAACTGTTAAAATAGTTTGTCTGAGTTGGGAAGCTGGGAAATGCTACTTCTGCAAACAGTCAAATGGGTATAGGGCTGGCAACACCAAACAGCCAAGGGAAAGGGTATTCTTGTTTTTTTTCTCCAAGGGATTGTTCTTTGGGTTTTGATTTGATTCAGCTGTGTTTGTAGTGCAACTTGTGTTTCTGTGCAACTTGCTGACTCTCTGGTCAACTTGTATCTTATCCAAGTAGTTTTATAGATTTTCTAAGAAACAATCTGTTTTTGTAAGAATGAGTTTTAAAGTCTGATGGTATTCTAGGCTTTGTAGCTTAAAGAACCAGAAAGCTCTCTTGCACGTCTGATTTGCAAATTAATAGATCCATTGTGCTTAAAAGTTAAACTATATGTTGCTCACCTACATAGTTTTATCAGATTTATGGTAATAGTCATGTGATACTCTCAAGCTGTTAAAAATATGTGGTGTATCACCTACCTGAAAAAGAGTTGCCACATCTTTCTTCTGACCATTTTTCTCCTCCAGTTTTAAGCTGTCAATGCAACTTATTCCAGTAAGAAGTATAAAGAATTGTCATTTGGACAACAGAGGATGACTTTTTATGATGAAGGGACAGTCTTTTCTCTGCATTTCCCTTACTTACATGTATTTAGGTTAAATTTTTGATAGTTCCTCAAGAAAAACTGCCGGTAAGGTCTTGTGTAATCCAAATTCCTTCTGTGCTATTGTCTGCTCAATTCTTTGTTTGACTGCTATTAAGTGGGAACAGATTTTTCTGAATATACCACCTTTGTGGGAAAGTCAACTTGAATAGCTATGCACAAAGGAAGTCTTACCATAAGTGGTAAGCAATTGAAAGCAGATTCAGAACTACTATGTATTTTCCACTTAATCAATTGTGTTTTTTTTTTTTTTTCTTACTTGCCATGTTGTAATCTATTGAATCTACCATTGTTTTTCTTCACTTGTCTATTTTGGGGGTTTCCAAACCTAATTCTGGATATACTTTAGGTTTTGGGGACTTAGTAGAGAAAGAGCAATACTTGTTTTGTTGTGTCCGTACTCTCTAAGAAGGGTTAAACCTTATCAAGGAAATGTTTGGATTATTTTTTGCTATGTCTGTCAACCGTTTTAGGTCTTCAGTCTAAAACATGACTTGGTATGGAGCAGATTAACTTTGTATTCTTCTCACAGAGGTATCCCTAATCTGCCTACGAAGAGTTCGGGAATAGTTTTCTATGAATGATGCTAAACTTTAAGGAGTATATTAAATCCCTAAAGTATGGACGGCAGTTTCATCTGGAAATCTCCAATAACTGTTTATAATATTTATCATTATAGGCTTCTTAAAACGCATTTCTAGTGTTTGCAATGTCAAGGCATCCAACATGATGAAAATACTATAGGCACAATGTGACATATGCACTCAGCTTGTTACAGTTTGAAGGCTCTTTCTCTAGGATTCTAAATTTGGCTATGGGCAGTTTTTTTGTTGTTGGTTTTTTTTAAAGCTATAAAGTGTGTCTTTGCAATAAAAGTATAATATCTTTGTGGCAAAAGATAAGTAAATAAAGTTTAAAGGGCAGAACTCTCAAAATTTGATGTAGTATAACCAGTGGGTCCTTTTTCAGAGAAAATTATAATTGGGAAAAGTATATCTTGTGTTTGAAAGTACAACCCCGTCTCTACTAAAACATAGAAAGAAATTATTTGGACAACTAAAAATCTATATAGAAAAAATTAGCCGGGCATGGTGGCACATGTCTGTAGTCCCAGCTACTCGGGAGGCTGAGGCAGTAGGATCGCTCGAGCCCAGGAGTTTGAGGTTGCTGTGAGCTAGGCTGACGCCATGGCACTCTACTCCAGGCAACAGAGTGAGACTTTGTCTCAAAAAAAAAAAAAAAAAGAAAGAAAGTACATCATATAGCTTTTTGCATTATTTTATTTTGAAGTGATTTCAAATGTGCAGAAAAGTTACAAAAAATTACCTGTACCTTTCACCCAAATTCTCCTATTTTATCATACTTGCTTTAGTATCTTCTCTCTTCCCCTCTCTTCTTACCTCCTTTTCTTTCTCTGATAAACGTGTGTGTATATGTGTGTGTGTATGTATGTATGTTTTCTAACATTCAAGAGTAATTACAGATGTGGTGTCTCTTTACCCTAATTATTTTAGTGTATATTTTCTAAGAAGGATATTTTCTTACATAACCACAGTACAGTTACCAAAATCAAGACATTGACATTGATACAACACTATTATTTCATCTGTGGACGCTATGCAAATTTTGCACATTGCCCCAAATAATACAATAACATAACAATACAAATTTTTAAAGATTAGAAATCCTAACAAATGTTCAAGGCCCATCAGTTTCCCCCTGAAAGTAATATTTTTAAAAGCATAAGTAAGAAACTCAAAAGTTACAAAGGGTCCTTGTAAAACTGGAAAAAAAAATCTAACATAAAGATGCTCTTAAAATTGCAACTCAATGTTTTCTTCAGTATATTTCTTTTCACACGATCAGAGAATGTTTGCAGTTGGTAATAAATATTCAAGCACCTTGCAAATGTCCTACCAATTCTCTTTGCTGATCTGTATATGCCTGTGGGATTAGAATAGGAATGCATAATTTAAATATAAATTGCCTGATTTGCATATACAATTAGTCAAGCTACAGCCTTGATCATAAGCAAAAATTATTGTCCTGTATTACCACTTAGATAGAATTTTAATTCACCTTGAATATTCAAACTAAATTAGACCCTGGCTGTATAGTTAGAAGGGCAGTACTTCCCTGGTGCCCCAAGTCATTTATGATAGGGTAATAAAGGCATCTTTTCACCTCCTGGTGAAGAAGATTCTGTAAGCTCTGTCTGCAATACTCTGATTCTATCCAGATTTTAAATGCATGTCTTAAAACAGCTAACAAAGGCTTAACATATTTTCGTTAATATTTCCAGTCTGGATCTTTTCCTTATATTATAGTTTATAAAGCCCAGCAGACAGTAATTGCAAACAAATGTACTTAAGAAATAATGCCACTAAAATGATGGAGACTACAAAAGTCATGACAGTTAATTACTACTGGAGATCTTCTGACGTTCCTCAAGTCATGGACCATAGATGTGTGAAATAAACCATAGAAATTTAAGAAACCATAGGAGTACTTACATCTCTTACATTTTTAATCTACAGTAAAACATTTTTATTAGGAATCTATGTTTTTAATTAAACAGAACATTTAATTAAGGTGCTTTTTAAGTGGGTGAAACAATTAGTACAAACACTTGAATGAAACATGTCATAATTAGTTTTAATAGAGTGTTAATTGGTACTAGGTTTGCCAAGTTAATAATTACTGCTTATTAAATTTTCAATTAATCATTGTCATTTTGCTTTGAATAAAGATGAAAATTAGATAAACTAATTCAGAGGGAGGATATTTTCCCTTGTTAATTAGAACAGTTAATTTTTGAAAATGGAAATTATTTGTTTTAGTTGTCAGTCTTCTGTTGTACATTAGTTGAATCTTTGCACCCTTTCCTCAGCCAAAAATAAAGAGCTAATTTGATACCTCACAGGTTTGTAGTCAGACCTGACTGTTTTGGTTTGCGGTAAGATTCAGTTATATTAGTCTAGTGCAACAGTTGGTTATGCAAAATCATTATATATATTTGATGAAGTAGACAGACGATAGCTTAAAATCTAGAAATTAGAAGATTTTTAAAAATCTCTATCATTTAGTCTGTAAAGGCACATATCCATATTACTCAATGACTTAAGAAAAAGTAAAACTGGATCATCTGTTACATCATTTTTTTAAAAAGGTCTATATTAACCTAATTGCTATATGAGTTACCTTTTCACTATTGTGTTGTATTTTTTACCAGCAAAACAATTGTTTGTACTTACATATGTGTACATGTAAAATCCATTCCCTTTTATTTTTTTTTTTTCTGAATGCTTCACCCATGGACTTCCTATATTCATATTAACCTACGATGTCATGAAAACTAACTTCTATGTGTGTCTGAATTATACAGACAGGTTTCTTGCGAGTGTCCTTTTAACTTCTTAATCTGGTCTCAGAATCATTTCTGGCTGCACTAGTTTGATAAAAACGTAGTTAAAGACCTAGGAATTTCAAAAATAATTCCAGAAGTACAAGCTACAGAAAAATTCTCACCCTTTGTTTTCCTAAGTGAATTTCACATATTTGCTAGTTTTTTAGACTGCCAGAACTGCCCAAAAATGTGGATGAGAGTAATGCCTGTTGCGCATAACTCTATTAAAAAGTAAGCAGCATCCAAGGGCCTGAGCTAACCGAGAGGTGTTGTCTTGTCTGGTTTGGCCCGGCCGGCACGCAGAGGAGGCCGTCAACGAGGTGAAGCGCCAGGCGATGACCGAGCTGCAGAAGGCCGTGTCCGAGGCGGAGCGGAAAGCCCACGACATGATCACCACGGAGCGCGCCAAGATGGAGCGCACGGTGGCCGAGGCCAAGCGGCAGGCTGCGGAGGACGCGCTCGCGGTTATCAATCAGCAGGAGGATTCCAGCGAGGTGAGCTTCCCAATGAGAAAGTTAATTAGACTGCTCATTTTTTATTCCAGGAGGTCACAAATGAAAGTGGATATTGGATTTTAGACAAATATTTGGAAAAAAAAACTTTGAAACAGTTTGGGAGTTGGAAGTACTTGTGTAATTGATCAAGAGCTGATCAAATTTTATTTCTGCTTTTTTGTTTAATTTTTTTTATTTGTGTACATTTATGGGGTACAAGGGTAATTTTGTTACATGTGTAGATTGCATGGTGTCAAGTCAGGGCTTTTAGGGTATCCATCACCCAAATAATGTACATTGTACCCATTGAGGAATTTCTCATCATCGCATCATACACTCCCCTTCTACCTCCTCACCCTTCTGTCATTCCGCTCCCCACATCCATGTGTGTACATCTTTTGGCATCTGTTTATGAGTGAGAACACATGGTATTTGTTTTTCTGTTTCTGGCGTGTTGCACTTGAGCTAATGACCTCCAGTTTCATCCATATTGCTGCAAAAGGCATGATTCCATTCTCTTTAATGGCTGAATAATATTCCACTGTGCTCATTTCTTCATTGAAGACCTAAAAGAAAACTCTCTGCCAAAAAAAGGTTTTTTGTTTTTGATGGGTTATGGATTAAAGTGAATTCTTATAACATCTCAGCATTATTTAGAAACTCAAAACTTGGCTGTGTGAGAAAGAACATATGTGTGTGCTTTCCTTCTGATAGAAGGGATTTAATAGATACACTGCATAAACTATGGTCTCCAAAGACATACTGCATGCTCGGGATTGAAATCACTTCCTTAGTTATTGATCCTAAAGTCCGGTGCCAAAACAATGTGTGTAGCAACTAAATATTTCTAAGAGATCTTGTATATAGTCTATAGTTCCATATTAGTTGTGATAATCAGTATTATGGCCATTTCCTAGCATAATATCACTGCCAGAAGTAATATTATTTAGTATTATTCCAGTATAATAATTCCCACACACATATACACACACATACTCACAGATAAACTAAATGGCTCAAAGATCTTGGAAGTAACTAAAACACAATTTCTAAGGGAATGATTTTTAAAATGTAGCCTATAAAGTCAGAGCAACATAGTAATGCTTCATGTTAATGAATATAGCATCACAATCCTCAACCCCAAAGTAACTTAAGATAAAGAATTACCATTGGCTAGTCTCACCCAGCTGAACTTGCAGAGACATGAACTGATAAATCAATGGTCTACCACAATACATATCTATAATTTGTGGGGGAGAGTATTTAATTTGTACCAGGCTTTTCTGTAGATGAAAGGCCCTGCGGGAATCACTCGGTGCCTAGAGTTTCTATTTAATGTGTAGCAGATGAATAACAAGGGCACAAAAGGAATTGATTTTTAACATTTGAAAGTTTCTCAGGAAAAGAGGGACAAAGGGAAGTTTATCTACCCTTTAGTTGCTGACTTTTCCATTGTTGAATTACACTAGACATAAATTCAGTTTTATTGGCACTTGTGGCTAAGATATATAAGAACTTTGTTTTGTATTTTTTAATGTTTAATTTTTATGAGCATCTTTTGAAAAGAACTTGTCCCGCTCTATTCAAGTTAGTAATATTGTGAGGCACACTTGTTATTATCATTAAAACATTATCACTTGCACATGAACATTTTAGGTCTGTTGGGTATGTTAAGAATATTTTGTAGTTCACTGAATTCTAAAGATAAATGTCTAGGAAGAAATTGTCAATTAAGTTTTTGTATGGGAGTGATAACATGCTGTATTCCTTTAGTATCTAAAAGCTTTGTGTCTATTCCTAAAACCTATCCAGAAAAATATATGATCTTGACACCAGTATTTAGCGTTTTAAATTATGGTATATCACACAGAAGCTGTGGTAAGTAGTACATATGATTGAATAACCTATGTAAGAATGATCATCTGTAATAATTTTTTTTCTTTCTTTTTTTGGTCTCTGCAAAGTTGGGGGGGACTTATCTTTAATACAGCACTCTTTTGTCTTCAGTGACACTTTACCAAGAATTTTAAGACTATGGTAGGGGAAACAGTTTGGAATTCAGAGGGACAAATTTAATTCCCCGCTCCAGCTCTTGCAATTCTTTGATCTGTGAGAAAGCCACTGAACCTCTAAAAGCTTTGGTCTTATCATGATGCGAAGATGAGTGAAAGTGTCTTGTGTAATGGCTAGAAACTTGAGACGTGATCATTTGATCATGTTGTAGGTAAGGAAACTCACCTGGCTAAAGTTACAAAGCTAGGAAATGGTGGAGTCTAAGCTGGAACTTGCCACATGCTATCAGTCCTTATATTGTTTCATAACGATGAAATAAGGATCTTTTCATAAGGGTCATTAAGGTAATTTTTGGGTGCAGATAAAGGCAACTTTGGTCTGGTTTCTCACCTTTCTTTACTTTAAACTGCAAGACCACTTTTAAGACTTTAAGATGGAGGAGCCATCCCTTTTCCCATAAGTAATGTAGACAGTTTCCTGAGGGCTGAGGGTAGAAGAGAGAAAGATGGAAGAGGATTTCATTTAAATAAAGCTGATGCTCCTCTGGACTTGCGCTTAAGTCTGCACACACGCCCTAGAAAAGTGGTTTGACCAAGGACTTGACAAAGAAGTAAAGGTTAATCCATTAACCAACCCAAAGTTAATGTCATTCATTCCCAAGGAATGAGTGTCCAAGAACAATCCAAGTGCCTGGTGGTCGGTTCCTTTCAGCCATACCTTTCTCCCAGTTATTGGATTGAATTTGTAGGTAAATGCTTTTTTCCTCCCTCAAAGGACAAAGCTTTGAAGCCAACGTATTATTTTTCTGCACCCTGCTCTTTCCTCAACCTCAAGGAGGTACACCCTTTAATAGAAATAGCCTGACAAAAGCCACCTCAGCAGTGATGCTTGCATCTCACCTGAGGTCTAAAGAGCTCCCTGACCCCTCTTGGATAGAGCCAGGACAGGTCTGGCTTCCTTGGGCTAGGATAGAGCTTCCTATGCTAGACCTCTCCATTGTTGGCCCCCAGGGTAGGGAATCTGTTGTGTGCTGAGAAGACACTTCATTACTTCTCAGAATTTTCATCTATGTTTTTATATTCAGGGGTTTTCTTGAATATCAATAATTTGACCCCAAATAAGGCCCATTGGGCTTTAGATATTTTATGAATTATTCCCTTTTTTAGAAAAAAGAAAGGTCTTTATTCTTAGAAATGAGAGCTCTGGCCATGATAATAAAAATATACATTGTCCTTAAATGTAAAAGCTACTGATTTTAAAACTGTATTTAGAAATTAATGGGCATTCTTTAAAACTATCGTGTTTGTGACCTGCCCAAACTAGTTTATTATTTGATACACACAACTAAATTACTCACATCCATTTATTCATCTATTCTTTCAACAACAAATCATTGAGCTCCCATTCTGTGTCAGGGACAGTGCTGGCACCGAGGGTACAGCAGTCTCTGCTTCACGTGGATTGCAATTTACTGGAGGTGTCAAATAACTACATTGTCAGAGTCATAATAAAGTTTAATGTGAAGGCTTCTGGGGAAAAGTTTTGTTTCCCCTCTGGTTCTTAAGGATGAAACTGGTCAGCAGCTGCCCACCATCTCTCCCCTCCATGACCTCATCACTGCTCTTGCAGGGAAGATGGGAAGGGAAGCTTTGCCAGGTTTGAAAGCAGGATAATTCTGTGGCTGATGAGTGTTTTGGAAGGGTCACTCACCCTGCAGTGTGCAGAGAGATTAGAGGAAGCAAAAGGAGGAACCAATCTGTGTCGGGAGGGAGATGGGGGAGAAGATGGTTGGATGAGGATGGTTGGTAGTGGTGCTGGGGTGCAGGAAATTGGATGTATTGGCTGCATACCCACGAGATAGAATGTGCAAGACACAGTGATTGATTCTCTGTCAGGAAGGAAGAGGGAGCCATGATTTCCAGTGGGCGGTACAGGGTTTGGGATATACACATCAGGTGATCTTACTCGAATCACCTTCAAAAACTTTTTGGCTTTGATCTGCCCATGGGATGTATGGGGGTGGTAGAAAAGGTAACCTTTGCGTATTTCTTGTGCATAAACAACACGAGTGAAAACATTTAGAAGCTCAAATCAATTATTTAATCCAATGAGAGAGAGAGATCTTCTCTGTGGACTGGAAAGAGTAAATAGAGCACAGAGGCTTAAGTTCATACTGTGTAATGTGGAAACCAGGATAGTACTTGGAAGGTAGGGTGTAGGGTGGTGTTTACACCTGTTGTCCCCTTATAATTATTAAGAATGTCTCCTCCTACTCTCAAGTGTCCTGGTTTAGGTAAGTTTTATGGTCCCACCACTCAAAGGCCATGTTCAGCTGATTAGATATTCATCTTGCTAGCACAGCTCAGAGGCAGATGCATGTGGCAGAGAGAATATGAGAGGAGGACCCAGAAGACATGAATTCTGTCCCCATCTCAGGGGTCATTGGTGATTCATTTTATTCCTGTCAGCCTCTGTCTATTCTTAAGGAATGAGATGTCATTCACTTACATGGTTATTCAAAAGATTTTTTTGTTTTACATAAGCAATTTGTAGTGTGCTGAGAGCTATAAAACAAGGCATTATGATCTGCTTACATTCCCCATAGTTTTTTTTTTTTTTTTTCCGAGACAAAGTCTCACTGTGTTGCCCGGGCTAGAGTGCCGTGGCGTCATCCTAGCTCACAGCAACCTCAAACTCCTGGGCTCAAGCGATCCTCCTGCCTCAGCCTCCCGAGTAGCTGGGACTACAGGCCTGTGCCACCATGCCCGGCTAGTTTTTTCTATATATTTTTAGTTGTCCAATTAATTTCTTTCTATTTTTAGTAGAGACGGGGTCTCGCTCTTGCTCAGGCTGGTTTCGAACTCCTGAGTTCAAACAATCCGCCCGCCTCGGCCTCCCAGAGAGCTAGGATTACAGGCGTGAGCCACCGCACCCAGCCGTCCCCACAGTTTTTGATCACGATGTGTGCTATACTTTTCTGACTGAAA